GTCAACATAGAATTCTGTGTTTGAACCCACCCATGTGGAGTCACTTGTAGTAGAGCAGGGAGATTTTTTGTAAGTTTGAGAACAGGATGCAATGTCACCCTTGACATTTTCCTTCTCTGAAGAAAAATTGACGAAGTTATTAGCATCCTGTCAACCTAAGTTAAATTCTTGACTGATGTATCCATATTTTCTCTGTCCAAAAAAATTAAATCAAACTGCTCGGAGAGATTTTCAGCACACACTTGGGCCAACTCTCTGTCCATTACTTGAATGTTTTCCATGAGAGTGGCACATTGCTGACCACTGCTCTGTTCATGTTATGTTTCACTCTCCTGACCACTGTCAGTTGCGTTTTCATCCATTTTCTCATCCTGTGCTTGCTTGCTTCCTTGCGATGGGCGCCCAGCGTTCATTTTCTTCTTACAACATGGACAGTCTTGATGATCATGTCTCCTCCATAAAAACGGTTGCTTTGAGGTGAAAGCAGAGCTTAGGTTTGCGCCTTGTATTCTGTAGAGAAGCCTCTTACATGCTGGGCATATGAGAGTAGGCTGAATTTTTCCCTGCCAACATCGACACCTACTTGAAATCTCAACCATAGTTCCTGCGTAAAGGATTGTTTGTCGGCAATATCAACCTTTCATTTTATTTGTTTTCCACAAAGACGACAGCGACTCTTTAGAAAAGGTGTATGTTTTCCATAAGGACACAAACTACAAGAACAAAAACTAACTACAACAACAAAAACTAAGGGTCAGTTTAGAATACGATATCCACGAAACGCTCACACCATACTTGAACCAGTGAAGGTGCCGAAATTATACACTTCACGGATCTTCAAAGGTCGTGCATATGAACTTAAGTGTCGTGTATATTGATTTTGTTTGAATAATCAACGAGCAAATTTACTTTAGTTTCTCGGAGTAATTTTTTCAAAAACAGAAAGAATTATTACTTACCTGAAATTTGGAAGAATTCAATGACCACTCAACTCAGAAAGCTTCAAGAACATTAATGTTGACTTTACTTTCGGGAGATTTTTCTCAGCGTTGCGAGACACACGCCATCTTTCTTTTCTTTCACGTGTTCCTCTGATGTTCCTTTACAAATAATGCATGGTCTCATGGGATACATAAAAGGGACAAAAATAAAAGCGACCCAAAAGCGTTGTGAATACTGATTTCTCTTGCAAGGCCCAAGAAGCCATTATCGGTGACGTCATCATATATCCAGAAATTCTCCCGGACTGTCTGCACTCCTGAAACACATCAACAAAGAGGAAAAATAAATATTGCTTTTCGTGACACAGCACCAGCCCTCAGCGTCTACTTAAAAATAAGTTTTAATGAAAACATGGAATCTTATACAAAACCAACCGTTGCTTCGCCAAATTTTTAAGAACCACCCATCATTATCTACAAGAAAGGAAAATACCTAAAGGACATGCTCGTTAGAGCTAAAATATAAAAGGGTAACACAAGGTTTCACGCCGGTTTGGATGTGCAGCCTGTCACCCCTTGCATTTTCGTATGTGAACTTCATTTATGGACATTTTGTGGTACATTTAATGGGCATTTTTACAGACATTTTGTAGTGCAGGTTTTGTTCTCTTTTTAAGGGCATTTTGTAGGGATTTTGTGTTCTTGCTTTTCGTTCTGATTTGCTTCTGTGCCTTTTTTTGCTGACATGACATCAACATTTTGCAGAGATTTCATGTGGTGCTCCGTGTATCTGTTAAGGACATTGCATACACTTTTGATAAACATTTTGTGCACTAAATTTGTGTACATTTTAAAGACATTTTGTGTTTTTTTGCCAGATGTTTATGAGGATTTTGTTAAAATTTTATGTTCTCCGAGTTTTTTTCTTTCCTTCATTTTTTTACAGAGATTCTGTAGAGGTTTTACAATGATTTTTATTTGGTTGTAAAATCTCTGTAAATTATGCTAAAAATTTACAAGGAAAACATGAGGATTTCACAGACATTTTATGCGATCTAGTCACTGTAGGTAAATCTACAGACATTTTANTTCCTTCATTTTTTTACAGAGATTCTGTAGAGGTTTTACAATGATTTTTATTTGGTTGTAAAATCTCTGTAAATTATGCTAAAAATTTACAAGGAAAACATGAGGATTTCACAGACATTTTATGCGATCTAGTCACTGTAGGTAAATCTACAGACATTTTATAGCGTTTGTAAAATGTCTGTACGTGTGCACGTTTATAGACATTGCAATTTACAAGGAAGATATAGAGATTTACTTAGATTTTACCAACTAAATGGTTCAAGTTTTCCAGTGCATATCCTTGAAGTGCTCTGGTGTTTTTTCACCTGTTAGAGTTACACGTGAATCCTTAAGCGAATTACCAGTGCAAACCTTGCTTGTTTGTTTCAAGGACCTTCTTCTCACACCTCTTTTCTTTCTTTGTCCTTACAAGCTCTGCACTCTTTTGCAAGAGATTGCATAGTTGGATTATTTCAAACGTCTTGATTATCCACATCAAGCCCAAAGACTGAACAGATGTTCTTGTTTTGAAGTAATCCATTCATAAATTGTAACTTATTATCTGGCACAAAATGATCAGTTTTCAATACTTCATCTCTCATCAACCCAATGAAGTCAGCCCTGACAAGCCCTTGTGCCCAGTCGGATAACTCTTTGTAGGGTACTTTACGTACTGGGGGCTTTTAAGTGCCTCTGTCACAAGAAGTTGCTACCGAAGAGGCCAGAATGTGAGCTGTTGGTTCTACTCTTGCTTCTAACATGTCACTCTCTTGAAGGACATCTCCAACACAGGAAGTGGTTGAGCTGTCACCTGAAGCTGAAGCTTCAACTTCATCTGGCATCATTGACCACATCCCCCGCATTGCAAGTATTTGTATTGTTACTTTCAAATCGAACCCTTGTACAAATTTCCTAAGTAAAGAAAGAATACCCAGGGATTTCAGAAAAGTACTTAATCCAAGGAGTAAAGATTATAAAATATTGTTAAGGGCTAACAGTTATTATTTGAAGTGAAATGAACCATGCAACAAGTAACCCGAATCGTTCGTAAATGATTCGAAATGTACTTAGGTACATGTAAGATTTCCAGACAAAGGCCTGCTCTGAGACCTTAACTCGCCGCAAGATTGTGCGAGCTAATGCGAGTTTAGGCGAGTTAAGGCGATATGAGGAAAAATTGAGCTTGCCCATCAGTTGCAAGTTTGTGTGAGTTAAGGCGAGTTAGGGGAAAATGATCCACCTACTGTTGAGGTGATAAGGGTTAAAACTTAGTAATATGCTTTAGTAATATACATAGAAAGATGCCTTGCAATCTTTGTTTCTCTTATATATATAGTAGGCTCCATGTTGCCCAATTACGAAAAAATTAAACAAAAAATTTCAGATGAGCTCCAAAGTTGAATGAAGCCAAATCTTATTTAACTTTATTTACATTGAATGATTTTCGTAATTGGACAAGCTTAAGTACGGATATGCTAGTGATGTGGAGTCATGTTCTTTTTCAGTATTACGTAGCATTCAGACACCAAACTATATCATAGTTGTATTATAATAATCATCATCATCATCATCATAATATATTATTTATTATAGCTATATAATTATTTGGCAGAATAATGAATTACCGGTAGGAAAAAAAAATGAAAACAAAACAATCATGAATTGATACAAATTGTAGCTGAAGAAAAAGCACAGGTAGGATATTCTATTTTATTTTATTTTTTTAAAATCAACAACACTGTTTCCATAGACAGGTGGGCATAATAGGTATCACATGACATGTCATCAATTGTTATCACTGACTCCAGAATTGAAAAGAAAATGTTTTAGCAGTCTGTGTCAATGTTCTTCAAAGAACTAGTATAAAAAACCGGGAAAGCTGACGAATTACAACTCAGCTGAGGAAATTTTTATGACACGATCAATTTTACTGAAATGAAATGAAATTTCTTCCTCCTTGAAAGTTATAAGACTTATCTTTAAGCCTTCAATTTGACCATTCCGTCCACTTCACTGATGGTTTCCCTTGGAATCCAGCCCAACTGTTTGTTTTCACTGCTAGAAATGATTGCCTTTTCGTTTCTTCGGGATAATCCATTTTAATTTCTTGCAAATGAAGGTTGATGCCTTTTCGGAGGCCTTCCAAGGGGGGTTCTGGTGTCGCTTTGTCGCTTGTTTTCGATGCAGGCCGTCGCCTGATTCGTTGGGGAAAATGTCGCTGTCGTTTTTTTGCTAGAAAGGCAAATGTCGCTGTCGGTATTTCAATTTTTGCGATGCAGAACCGTTGAAAAATGTCCACAAATATTTACACTTACTTGATTAACCTTGATTAAAACTGCTGCACTGATAGCTAATTGTGATACTGAGTGCCGATATTGTAACTATTCTTCCATACAGATGTCACAGATGCGCTTCACGGAGTCTGGTTGTTTACCATTTACCCAAAAATTCCGGAAATTTCGGTCAGAATGTAAATGGTAAGACAATGGACAACTTTGGCTCGACCAACCGGAAAATTTCCGAAATAAACGGAACGTCTTGAAAGGTAGTTCAAAATTCCCAACCGAAATTTCCTAACGGAAATGTGTGTACCATTTGCTTTTTTATCTACCAGTTCCAGACCCTACGCCAGTTTTGATGCGTAAGCGTGGTTACTCAGCTCGTTTCGCAAACGGAATTTCCCTTTCTGGAGTTTTGCTTACCATTTACACAAACTGTTGAGCAACCGATTTTCCCTTGTAAATGGTAAACAACCTCTATCTCAGTAGCCTCGCATTTGTCAACTCTCCCCAGTCTTACGGACTTATTACATAAGGTCATACATTGGCGCAACTCTGGCTTACTACAGACACTACATGCTGATCGTCTGAACAAAGGATCAGAGAAAATAGTTAATGACCCGTTAATGTGCGTATGTACAGTGAAATAAAATGTCAGTTTGCGCCAACAGTGGATATTTAAGGTAATTACAAATCTAGATATTTGCAGTAATTACAAGTCCAGTCTGGTCGGTGGACGGATATTTCTTCCGACTCGAGACGTGGAGATGGTTGGCAGGGTCACAGAGTCAACACAGACCACACTGTTTAGCTCATCGTCGGAGAAGTCTGCTTCATCTGCAACAGAATCTGTTATGCTTTCATCACCTTCAGTGCACAGATCCCTTGTCTCTCTAAAAACACTGACAACTCCTTCGTAAATTTCTTCTGGCAGTATTATTTCTTCGCTAGCCGCTGGTGTCAAGGCATCAAGTACCAATCCCACAGCTTCCTTGGGTAAATCGACTTGATCATTTCTTTCAAAAAGGTAGATGTTTTGTTCGGAGGGATAAAAAATATTGATCTTTGGCAAATAAGCTCTATGCTGGTCTTGGTAGATATCTTCAGCTGCAACTCCAAGATAAAAAGGTGTGGAAATAAGTGTCCTTTCAGTAAGGCCGACAAGGCCTGGTTTTATGGCCAGAACGGTTTGCGAAGAAAATAACAATTCAGCATTGGAGACATTGGAGTGCAAGCTGCCTTGCCTTGAGGACGAGGTCTCAGTGGGGAAAGAGAATGACAGTGGTTGCGGTATGGGCTGCGGCCTGGTATAGGAGTAAAGTGGAAGAGTTCCAACGTTGTCCTTAGTGGATTGATTTCTTACGGTCACTTGTGCAACTGGTTGGCCGTAATTGTCACGCCAGTCACGAAGAACCTTCTGATCTCCAATGGGCATGGATTTTGTCGGGAGTTGCGGGATGACTGGAACATCAGTAAAGTGGAGACTGCCACCGTCAGGGAGCTCATAGAATGATGAGGAGGCAGTGAAGTAATGAAAGCCGCATTTGGTCAACTGCTTGACGTTCTCTTTCATCGTTGGACCAAAGAGCTGTGCATATTCAAGAAGCGTCGGTGTAGGGTTTCTCGATCGCATCTTACTGAAAAGGTGCTCCACGACAAGTGTTAGTAAAGATGCAAGTCGCACATGAGAAATGAAGTCGGCATTGATATAGCTCAGGCTTTCCTTCAGTATTCCAAGGGATTCCAGTATGACTTTGACGCTCTGAATGCTCTTTGAAGAGGGTGTACCTTGGGGACCTTGCACGGTAGATGCTCGACAAAGAGATTCTGCTGTCTCTCTCTCCCAGGTGCTTAAGAGTGATGATACGTCACGGAAGGCAGCTATGGCTTGAGAGATACTGTAAATGTTCGGAGAGATTCCAGGCAAATGAATACCGAACGTTTTACAAACAGTATCAGTTTGTTCCAGGTAGAGTGAAAGTGCTGAAGTAGGGGTCACCATGCAGACGCGTCCAACAGCAGTATCAGCAACGTAGATTGTTTTCCCTTCAATACAAACAGCTGTGGGCTGTTCAAAGGAGCAAGAACTTGATGAACCATCTTTAGATGAATTAACTCCCGAACCAGCAATGTCTTTCACAGTGCCGTTGGACAGCAAGCGCAATTTTCGGGCATCTCTGTCCGTGAATATCAAGTCTCCGTTCTCATCAACTGCGATTCCGTGAATGCGCTGGCAGCTGCTCGACTTGTTTGAAACTAAAACTGTCTCTGCATTAGTCGAAAGGTCAATGCGTAGCAATCCTCCCTCGTCGCTTGAGTCTGCCACAAGAAGATTTCCCGTTGCAACGGAAATTCCTAATGGTAAAGCAGAGTCTTTAAGAAGGATCTCAGAGATGACACTTCCTTTCAAGACTGCTCCGTTGTTGGTGATAGAAACTTGAAGTACTCGATGCGTGTGCAAATCCGAAATAAACAACAGGTCAGTGCCAAAGCCACAAACAGCAAGGGGAGTGGAAAGTGGGGTCGAACGTGCAGTGTTCAGTGGAAGAGAAGAAAATTTGGTGCAGTCAACTTTATTTTCTCGCTGTGCCTTTGTCATCCACTCTTTTAGGCGAGCAACCATATCCTTCTTTTGAAGACCAGCCGTGGGAATTTGTCTTTCCTCTAGAGCTGGTCTCAACTCCGAAACCTTCATACTGTTGGGCTTAAGAAATACGGAGGAGCTTAGCGGAAGATATGCGACTCTTTTATTGCCCATGTCTGCGACGTAAAGGACGTTGTTTAGGTAGGCGAGACCTTGTGGATTCATCAAACTGCCACTTACTTCACTGACGTCAACAGGGTAGTGCAATCTACCTTGGAATACCCGAGATTTGCTGTTGTCGGCTACAAATAGCTTCCCTTCAGGTGCTATACAAAGACCGGTTGGATGGTCGACAACACCTCTCGCGTTTCCTTTGTACAAACGGTAGGGTTCGGGGATGAGAGTTTGTGTGATGCGTGGCACACTGGCCAATAGCACACGCACCGACTCTTTGTTGATGGTTAGCAGGTCGGGGACCGACATGCGGTCTCGATTTCGCACTGCACTCAAGGTGACAACGCTTCTCATCTTCTCTCGCATCGCTGGGTTGGGGTCATTGTACAATGTTCTTAGGTTCGAAAGGTTGAATCGTTCTCCGCCTTTGTTCAGGAACCAGTTGGAAAAGCTGCCCTTTAAGCATTTGGCCACGTGGGTTGCCTCTGGAATTGGAAGAAGAAAGTGAAGTTTTGGAGGGAATGTTCCACCTGTCTTTTCCTGTATCAGCTTAAGCATAGCCTGTTTGTTGTTTTCTTCGCAATCCGCCGACCAGGCTAAGACCAACAATTTCACACATTGGATACCGGAGTTGATGCAACGAGTACACGCTCGCAGTGGTTCTTCAACAAATTTCTGGCCATTACTTTGGCAAGTTTGACAGATACTGTTGTTTGAAGCGCAATCTGAATAATAAACAAGATATTTTATGTTCAGAAAGTATAAAACTTTGTCGGCAATAGCTAGAAGCCTTGCAGGTGCATAGACTTTCTTTAAAGATATTATTATGCACGTCCCCCACCATGTATCACAAGATCGAACAAGGTCGCTTTTTTAATCTTTCATACACAGGTCGATCCTGCCCACTTGAGTGAACACTTTTCCTTTTATCGATTCTAGTTATGTGGTTGCTACTTTCTAAAGATCTTTGGTATTAATCAGGTTACATAAGAAATTTCCGAAGAAAGAGGCGTTTAAAATGGGAGGTATACGATATGATTTGGCGTTTAACTGTCAAATGAGGATTCCTAGCTCTATTTCCTACCTTGACAGTAGCTACTGCAAGCGTCTCCTGATGAAACAATGACATTCATGCAAGTTTCGGTTGAAACTCCCAGGAGGCAGTGCAAGCAGATTTGAAGCTGTTTCACACGCGTTTCTATTCGTTTCTTTACCGCGTCCCCATTGGTTTTCTTGGAGGTGTAGTCATTCCCAACAGGTAAAGAAAGCTTATTGTCAAGTGCTGTCACAACTAAAGCATTCGCCTCGACGACGAAAGAATCACGAAGAAAACTTGGATCGGGCAAAGGATTTTCTTTAGCAAAGGCTAAAGTTACAGGAAACAGTAGTCCAACAAGTTCTTTCAATCGCCGATCAAATTGCAAACCAGGTTTGAGGCTCATACCATCAGTAGCTAGCGCTGCAGGTATCAGGAGCAGACTGGAACTCTGTAAAAGGGGTTGTACCTCACTATCTTCAAGTTGGGCAAGAAGGAGGTAGGCAATCAGAAGGCTTTTAATGATTCCATTGCGGGTGGTGTAGCCTGCCTTGTTCTTATCCCTTGTGGTCTTTGAAGGTATAAAGGGCAAGTTCCAGTCCTTCCAGTTGAACTGGAATGTCCCACCACGCCCTTGGTTTCTGTGCCCTGGTCCCCTTAATAAATTCATGGTTTTTGGTTTCCCGTGAAATTCCAGAGTTTCCATGTATGTATTAATTGTCCCATCATGTTGAAACTGTTCACGAGGATTTGATGACTTCTGTGCGAATTCAAGAGCATTCTTCAAACATCTGTAGAATATATGGTTCCGTTCGAGTTTCTTTGACTCTATTTCCTGTTGCAGCATGATGACTACAGGATCAAGCTCTTCCAAAGCCCTAAAAGCAAAATGTCGTATTCATGACTGTTGTGTGTCCTGTCATTCCCGTGCATTGCCGAAATATGCTTATCCAGTACAGACGTTAATATGTTGAGTTTATATCACATCATGTTGTTTTAGCTGTAAATATAGTGAGCGGCCGGTCTATGACCGTCTATTGCCGACGTAAACTCCCTTCCATCGCCTACTCGCGTAAAAACATGAACTGTGAAGGGTTTCTGCACTACAAATGACGTAAAACACCTTAAATGTACGCTTTAGGGATGCACACCGTAAACAGAAGTAAAGGAAGTCAGGAGATTTTAAACCAGACAGTGCCAAAAACTTACAGACATGGAAACGTGTACTCGCTGCCCTCACTATATTCGCTGTCGCTAGTTTCTTGTGTGTTTTCCCACTCTACTTCACTCCTGTATAATATGAACAACGAAAATAGACATCTCAACACTGGCTTGTTTATTACTTTTCATTTTTATTATATCAGTTTCCTCGATTATTTACAAAGCTGACTTTCATTTTTCGTTATAGTTATAACCTTCTAACTCAACCTCAAATTTTTGACAGCAAACATATTGGAAGCTAAATTAAACAAATAAAAAAAGGAGACTACTTGTCAATAAGTAATCAGCCTAAACAATACGAAAATAGCATTAGTAGTCAATTATCGCCTCTCTTCGAAGAACAATATTGATCAATATTCCTTATTTCTGTACGATTGCTCAATAGCTGGCCGGCCATGAAGACAATGAAGCATTGGCTTCACTTACATATTAAGATCATTAAGCTCGTCATTTGCTTCCGAAGATGCCGCTTGCTGGTTAGAGAAGATGGACGCAAACATGGTTGAAATGTTACCACTTCTTACGGCTGGTTGACAGTTTTTCCAGTGGCCTAAAAGACATTTATATGTGACATTTTATTATGTGTACGTGCGAAGCATATGCATACTATACAAGACTCCATATAACACTTACAGGGTTCATAAGAAATATAAAAAGCAATCTGTGACTTTGGTTCAACTTATTTGCGAGAAATGTTTACATTTATAAGCCGGTGTTAATTTCTTCCAATACTCTTCAAAAAAAGTTACAAAACTCGAGTCAATAATCTATGTAAAGTGTTCTGTCAGTTTCAGTGGTCGTTCCTTCTACAGACTTTACTGTGGGTAGAGAGTAACTCCTGCATAAAGAACGTGTGGACCTATGTCACCGATGGACCCACAAAAAGTGAAAAACATAAATTGTAGTACTTACTATCACCGAAATGTTTCGAATAGCGCGGGCGATTCACCATCCTCACCCTACGGCATTTCCCGCATCGAATTTGAAGCTCACTTACAGCTTCGGACCCCGGGAACCGTGACGCGACGTCTGTGGGAAGTAATAACGTATGTTAATGTTTATCAACAGGACATGGCTTGTACATTGACTACAGTTGGTATATATGTTGTGGTCCAATTTATTCCTTGGTTTAAATTCTATTTTCCTTCGTTTTTGGATATGTTANTTTAGGGTATTACCAACATCCTGTTAGTTTACTAAACTTTTTAAAAGTTTACTAAAAAAGTTCTAAGTGATTGAACACCGATGCTGACGTTATTATCGGCGCCATTTTCAAACATGATTCTCTTTTAGCGCGAAGCGTTTTCAGCGAATAAAGCTCAAAATTGTGAGAAAAATGGAAAGATAGTTATGTTGACTAACTGATTTATACATCTTTGCCCATTTTTCTCTAACTGGTGAATGAAATCCCAGCAATAAAAAACAAAAATAACGATTTAGACGTTTGACCGCGGTGGTCCAATCTTGGCGTGGCCCAACATTTTTTTGATCCCAAAAGAGACCATTTTAAACTTTGATTACATGAATCGAGTAAATAAAACGAATTGAAAACATATTTTTTTTAATATTTCTTCGCGTTTTGCCCAGAACACCCTAAGTGAGTCCAAAATCCGAAATTTAAACCCCTAAGCGAGACGACGAGCATCCCCGCCCCTTTTTATATGGATGTCCCCCCTGGAATTGGGGATTACTTTAAATGGGGGAGCTTATAAGCGGCAGTTTGGATCTTGACAAAACACCCTTCCTCCACGAAAAAAAAAACGTGGGATAGTCTATCGTTTTTAGCTTTCGCCGGTCCTTCACTCACAGGGTTGAAAGGTTTGAAACGAGCTGAATTTGGGTGTTTTTTTCCTTATCATTTATAGGTGCTGATGAACAAGCTTTGGTTCGACGAGTCCTTGTCAGATGCGGTTGATGATCCTCGACTTCACGAAGAACTTGTGCCAAGTATGGATGTAGAAATTGAGAAGAAGGAAAAGTATCGTCTTAATGGGAATATAGTTAAAGGTTTAGAAAAACTCGGACACAATGTAATAGTGGGAAATGACGCTGCTTTTGCTGTGGTACAAGCCGTATATCGGAAACCTGGAAAAGGCATATACGCTAAGTCCGACCCGAGAAAATATGGGGTTCCTGCGGGAGCATCCTCAGCCACAAGTTGCTGGGCAACCTTTGTTGTTTTGAGCAACTTTTTGGCGATTTTCTGGCAACTGAAAACATATTCCGCTTTTTAGGTCTTTTAAGAGCTCTTCTTCTTTACCCCACGGCCATAAAGGTGATATGGTGCGCATGCGTAAGGTCCAGACCATACAGTATTCTCGTCCCCAGAGCCACTCAACGGCCTTTCGGGACGAGAATGCCCATACCGTGGAGTAAACGCTCAGAGTTGGTTTTCCGCGACCATTGCCTTCGGATGGTATAAAGAAATTTTTTCGCCAATCTCAGGATCTCGAAAGCTTTTGTGATGAGTCACGAAGGTTTCTATCAGTCTCGAATTTTCGAATTTTTTCTCAGTTTTTTAACAAGGCTCTCGGCGTCTCGGTGAGTCTGAGATTTTCCAATTCGCCACGAGTATTCATAATCACAGGAAAAGAAGGATGGTGTGGGATCTTTTTGTTTGCACCCTTTAAATGGCCAACCCCAAATTCTTAACAAAATTGCACAATACCAGGTCTTGTAGCCAAAATTTTGACAGTACGTTTGATTGTTTCTTTGGACTTGCGGAAACCATTCTTGGTTCGCTTTTCTGTTGTAGTGTCGGTATTGTTTAGTGTCCTTTCAATCTTTTGTATTACGTCATCAGATAGTACCGGTCCGCAACAGCAATAAATTTTGTAGGTTTTCAGTAGCGTGATAGTACAGAAGCAGATTCAGACAAGGGATAATACATTCTTTCTTGATTTAAATGTTCAAAGTAGCAAACTGAAATACCTTTCAAGCGTTCATTAGTATTATTTTAAATGTGTGGATTCGGGATCATTTTTCAGTTGATAATGGGGGGTAGAAACTTGTCTCTAGGTTTAAACTATAGTAGTTTTCCCTTGGTAATAATTTCCAACTTTCCTCACATTTTTACGTAAGCATTTTCCTGTAAACTGCATTGTCGGCTTCTCTTAAACTTCGTAACGCTTCATATGCTTTTTGTATCAAATTTTTATATGAGACCAGCTTTTGATGATTTTCACCAACAAACCTTACAGTTTGCGTAAGTCTGGTTTCCCCGCGAATTAACGTCTGAGGAACGAGCGCAGAAATACTATTCTGATGAAGTGTACTAAGCAAATTTTCAACCAGTCAGAAGCACTACCCAAGTCTGGGTAGTGACGCGTTATCAGAGTGGCGCTTGTTCCGTGGTTTCACGGGGAAACCAGTGATGGCATCTGGAAAAGTCGTCTGTTTTCTCATGCTACTTTCTCAGTGATCAGCTATTTCAAACCGTTGTGAACGTTGTGCTCGGACAAGTCCAAAAGTGCGAACAAAAACATAGTCTGGCAGCCGTCATGGTTTTTAGTACAGCCAAGAGAGGATTTCACAGAACGAAAGGAAGCGAAAACCTCCCGACGGACCGTCGCAAGGACAAAAGGGGCAAAATGTTAAATAAACTTGTTTTGGAAATTTAAATAATGTTTTGTTGTACTGTTTGTATCATGTGCCTGAGACGCTACAACGAGGTCCAATGGAGTCTGAAGCTATTTTAAATTTTAAACGGCGTAGCCGTAGCGTTGCGCCGCAAATTTCTTGTGTCCCTACTAAGCAGGCTAGCAACTACTGAGAAAAACAAATCTGAGCTTTATTGGAAAACGAGAAGACCCTGGGGACGAGCTGGGGCGAATGAAGCGTGAGGAGCTAAAAGTTTATTTATTAGTTTATAATGTTTAATAGGATACCTTCACTTCTTTAAAAAGTCGTCTGGCTCGTCTCGTCATCTCGCTTAGGGGTGTAAATTGGAGGGTCTGTCTCACTGAAGTTTTTCTGCTCGGAAATGGGCACTGCCAGGCGGGCCTGTGATCGGCTCTGCGAAAAGCTGATAATTTTAGTCATACAGTCACTGTTTTGCTTAGGTTTGTTGGCTAAGAAATATCTATTTTGAGATTTTTTCGTCCTGTCCTCGCCTACTTGAGAGTCAATTATGATTTTCTGACTTGTATTGCCGTACTTTGAGCCTTCAAACGAAAGTCACTCCCGCTCTCGCGAATTCGCGAAAATATCGCGTGACCTCATACACAGGGGAGGGGTGGGAGTAGGGCTTACATATTAATATTTCCGGCAATGCAAGATTCAGAGATCGATCGATCGATTAAGGTCATTCAGCAGGCACATGTTTAATTAGTCTACTAACTGTGTTTTGAAATAAATATATTACAAGGAAAAGCGAAGCCATTACCATGGTTAGCAGGTAAGAGAGTGATTTTTACTTCCTTTTAGCCCTGTTTTGGAGGCAACTATGTTTAATATCCCTTATCCTCAATCACTTGATGCATCGCTAGATCGGCAGAGACGGCATCTGTCACGCTTGAACAACTAACCGCGTCCTCACAAAACCACTTACCCGTTTTCCTTTTTCCAATTTTTAGTTAGCTTTAGATTTGATTTTCATGCACCAAGTAATAATCACTGAGGCTTTAAGTGAATGATTCAATCAGATACCTCCATACTGCGGAATAAGTTCTCCTTTCTCATTACGTAGCATGCCTCAACCATTTAATGTTCGTTCTCATAGACATGTCGCCAAGGTTTCCTCTAATTAGTATCCTTCAAGGGAAATTATTTCCTTGGACATCACTGTACTATCCTAAGAATCAGACTTAAGGTGAATTTCCGCCGTCGCCGCTTAAAACATAGGTAGAAGATTATCACTAAACGAGGCGAAGAAGACTGGACATAATTTCGGAAATGTTTCGGTGTTTACACACTTGACTCTTTAGGGCAAAAATTAAAAGAACTTATACTGAATCAGGTTGTACATATAAAAACACCGCGAACCCACGGAGATAAATAGGGATATCTGTATTGCTCAGCCTCTTCGCTCGTGTCATCACAGGCGGCCCAAACTCACGTTGCGAGGGAAGGGTGTAATGTAATTTACATAACATAGGTGACGCGCCGGTGTCGCGTTACAGGCGACCGTTGAAAATGTAAGAGACTTTGTATGAGAAATATATAACTGAGATCTGCGCACGCTAAATAACGCAAAACCTTACTTTTTCTCAAATGAATTGAATAAAAAAGACTTACCTGCAATGTATTCCACTGCGTTTTGGTGTCTGTTTGTCGTTTTACTGTTTTTTTGGCTTTACTGCGTAACCTCTGTTACTCCTTTCATCATAAACGAAGTGAAGACAGTGAAGGCTGGTCACTTCGATCTGTCGGGGTCCTGGACCAGTTCGCAACAAGAATGCCGTTTTTTTCGCCGAAATCCAAATCCGCTGCAAATGTTTCAGCTCCGGCCTAAGAGGAAAACCTCTTCTTCCTGTCTGGGAGATCGGCTCGAAAAAAGATCCATAATTTCCCCATTAAATCGAGCCATTTGTGCCGGACTTCGAGGCACGTCTGACTTTCGTCCAGTACCTGTGACCACTGTTGCGCCTACGATCTAATTTGCATTATGACAATCACTGTCACACACAGATAAACAAAAAACGGGCAGTTAGGGTAATCATCGCCTTTATTGGTAATTTTTGCTTCCATCTGCGGATGTGTTCCTGTCGGGCACTCCGTGGGAGTGAAAGGGTGTTTAACTGACTCTTACCTTTTTTTTGTGTTAACAGACTAACTTAATCTAATCTTATGTTACTCTGTTGCAGAAAGAAACTGATATGCATACTAGTAGTGGTTGGGTTTGTGGTATGTATTGTGGTCGCACTGTCTGTTTTTCTTGGGTTGTACTTCACACAAGAGAAAAAAGAAGAGAAGCGCTCTTCTTTGGGTGGACCCTATTCAATACAGGCAGTTGCTACGGACACTGACAAATGTTCCGATATTGGCAATGATACCCTGAACGCAAACGGTTCGGCCGTAGACGCAGCCATCGCCGCTATGTTTTGTCTTGGAGTTATAAACATGCACTCTTCTGGAGTTGGTGGCGGTGGTGTGATGCTGGTTTACAGTCGAAAACTCAAGAACGCTAATGTTATCGACTTTAGGGAGACTGCTCCGGCAGCGACAACGTCTGATATGTTTACTGGGGAAGACATGTCTAAACGCGGTTGGTGCTCTTATTATATTCTTTTTTGTTTTCTATTACCAGGACGTTTTGAGATCTATAATATTTAGCTATATTTAGAAGATAATAAGGGACTCCGAGGAGAGTTGTTTGTTCCATTTCCCTCAATTACAGTAATTAATAACCATACACCGAATGCAAATATGGCGGACCTCTCGGCCAGCCCGGGTCTAGTTGCGCGAAAGCGAGGCTAGTGAGGCCTCAAGAGTTTTGTTTTGACTGCGCGTCTTAGCGATTGAGTCGATCGATATGGTTTGCCTCCAGTTATTGCGTGCCTGAGGGCCACCAAAAAGAAAATTTTACTCTAGCTGGAATAGCCTCTACTTTCCCGAGATCTTTTCACAAAGAAAGTAAAGGATTCATGCGATTCGGCACGGCGATGGGAAGCACTTTACAGCGAAAGTGTGTTCGCTTCACTTACTTTAGAAGAGAGGACTTAAGAGATGGTGCTGTTCCAAGATGTTTGCATGGTCTGTTATTTATTCAACAAAAGGTAAACATTCTCGAGAACGGGAGCATCCGCTGTTGACTGTAAAATCTTTTAGATTTCACGCTGAAAACAGCTGCATTAAAATATAACAATAGTGACGAGTATGAATGAGACACAAGAATAACAATCGCCTGTTAATCATACAGGCGTGGCCAATGAAACTATGTAAAAACCAGAAGAAAGCGACATATTTCAAACACAGTCCTTGATCAAAGTGCACTGAAAAAACTGACAGAGGAACCGTTGGGAACTAAGAAAGTAAGAAGAAGGAAAAACGTTCTGTCAGAGAAAGAGCGAGCAAGTATTCGAGCATTGTATTTGACCTTGCGCGTGATCTATTTTAGCAACTTGTCGGTTGGTTTCGAGATAAACTAACAGCGATTTTCCAAAAAAATGCTTCTTTTATGGCACTGCTCAAACTCGTGAACACAGGATCGTGAAGACTGCGAAAACATTCGGCCTCGTTGTCTGTCGTTGTGTCTCTGAGAACTCCTAAAGATTGGTAAGTCGCGACGGCGGATTCACCTGTTCTCGAAGATGTTTACCTTTCCTTGGTAAGAGAACGGACAAAGCAAACTTGAAACAGAACCATGAATCTCTCCGTTATTCGCCCATTCTAATAGTTTTGTGAGTCTTCTCTTCTGAAGTGAAGCGAGCACACTTTCGTTCTTTCAACTCCGTGATAGTAAAGTGCCTCCATTCGCCGCGCCGAATCGCTTGAATCCATTTCTTTCTTCGTAAAGAACCTTGGCAAAGCGAAGATAATCAACTTTCGTTTCTGCTGGAGTTAAATCGCCTCTTTGATGGCTCTTAAGCACGTAACAACTCGAAGGAAACCGTATTGATCGACTCAATCGCTATGACGCGCAGTCAAAACATAACTCTTGAGGCCTCACTGGCCTCGCTTTCGCGCAGCTAGACCCCGGCCGACCGAGAGATCCGCCATATTTGCATTCGGTGTATGTTATTTTAATTTTAGATCTTAACTAGCCTCCCCAGGGGGGTACTCCCTTATATAAGCTACATTGTTATGTGCCGCCCCATCGGGTAGGGTTTTTGCGCTGTTTTGGTCTGAAAACGGGTATACACTTTGCCTATTTTGGTCTGGAATCGGGTATGTTTTTAAGGGAACTACGGGAGTGTATGAACGTATTTATCGTTTCAATTCCAAATGCGTAAGAAACAAAGAATAATATGCGAATTCGCAATGGATTTGAAGAGTTTTTTGTTTGCGCTATAATCTTAGTAATGATAACATAATTTCTGCCTAAAGGCCAGGTCTGAAAACGGGTATGGATTTTACAGGTGTAGTCTGAAAACGGGTGTGGAAAATTCCATTTTTAGGTCTGAAATAGGGTTAGGATTTGGAGAACCGGGCGGCACACTCCTACCAAGAACTCCCGGGAGGACCACCCGCGCTATTACCCCCCTCGAACACTATTTGGTAAGATGGGAGAGGAGATGTCCAGCTAAGGGAGGTATCCTTTTATTAGCGCAGGTTCGGATGTAATAAAAATAGAAAACGTCAGAGAAGGGGCCTTTTATCTTTAACCGTGTTCGAGCAGCCTGCGAGAAAGCTCTCCCCTTGGAGCAAGAGGGGATATCGGCACACTCGTACCCTTTAGCTATTCACATGTTTTTCGGAGGTCGGGGGGTGAGTTAGACCTAGGCGCGTGGCTAGACTTTCTCAAAGTCCTTCGCTTCTCATTTCCGGTTCTGGTAGTTGGCCCCAGCGCGAAGGACTTTTAACCCCTGTAGCGCGCCAAATTTACAGGAGGAATTTTCCTCCCGTTTGATGCCTTTGGTAAAACCCAGATAGCCGCCCGTTACTAGGCAATCAATCATCTCGGTCATACAGGCGACTGTGAACAGACTACAAATTTCGTGTGGAAAAACCGTGGATCGAGACAAGCGAAGAGGCGAGCAGTACATTTTTTTTTACGGAATCGGCGCTATCTTCGACTATTTTGGATTTGCAAGTTAGTTGAATAATCTATTCCAACGGTTTCAAAATTTGTTTTGAATAGCAGAGATTTTTTTGCTCTATAAATATCGTGTTGTTCTGTTGCCTATGACGACTTGCCGTGTTCGCCTGAAACGTAACTTGGAGAATTCTTTTACTAAATTAAAATTTTGATTGTGTTTGCTTTCTCACTTGCACACATTCTAGGGATTTAAATTACGGCATAAGCGCGACGTGCTTACTATCATTGTTAATAGAATTTGTTGGACATGAGGATGATTTTAATGATTCATAAATTCAAATATAACTGAAGGCGAATTTAACCCGGAATTAATTTACAATTGCTTAAATTGATATTTACGACTGCGTTGCCTGTGTATAGCCGCCTCCTACCCATATAGAGAGAACTTGACGCCCCTCGAGGCGGGCAACCCCTCGAGACACGCTTTGCCCGCCGTTCGGCTGGGTACTTGACACAGTTTCGTGCTAAGGCTATAACGTTTTTTTTTTTTTAGGCCGTTTTGCTATCGCTGTCCCCGGGGAGGTTCACGGCCAATTGCGGGCGTGGAGGTAATACGGAAGATTACCTTGGAAGGATCTGGTCCAGCCTGCCATCGATTTAGCCTGTAAAGGGTTTCCAATAAGCACCGCCGTTGCCGATGCCTTAAGTGAAGATATGGTAGAGAAAATAAAAGAGGATAAGGGGTTAAGGTGAACCATAACTATTATCAGGAACCGATTAAGTAATCGGCTCCTGCTATTATTCATCACAATTTTTCGTGTTTTCTTTTTGGCAAAGTGCGCCTGAGATTTCAGAGGCGTGCGTGTCGGATATCTGTTTTCAAAGTATTCTTTGCTAGGATCAGTTTGAAATGAGCCGTAGACAAACCGTGGTAGGCTCCCAGTTGCAAAAAACTTCTTTGTTTTGACTCTGTAGGGCGTAAAAAACACACACACACACACACACACACACAAGGGGCATAGTAAGTCTCAGGCAGTGAGCACGCTCATGATACTGCTCCAGGAGAGTGCAGTAACAGTTGCCTTTTAACAGAATATGGGTATGAGAACTCCAGAATAACTGCAGATACAGTGCCTTCTTTAACATTGCTATGATTTTCTTCTCTAATGATATTTCTTGTAAAATTTCAGGGAACTTCTCCTGGACAAAAATGATAAGCCTCTTAAAGAGGGGACAATAATAAAAAACGAACAGTACGCGATGACGCTGGAAAAAATTCGAGACAACCCCGAGTCTTTCTATAATGGGCCGCTAGCCAAGAGTATCTCACAAGATATAACAGAACTTATTCCAGATGAGCCAAAAAAGGGTCAAGTCACTGAAGAAGATCTGAGGAACTACCAGACAGAGATCAGGGAGCCCCTAGAAAGTGAACTGGCGGGGATGAAAATGCACCTCACTCCTCCCCCTACAAGTGGCGCTGTACTAGGTCTCATCTTAAATATACTGAAAGGTAGGAAGGTGCTCTGTTCTCATTATCATCATCATCACAGCCAGCGTGTTAACTCTCAGAGAGCTTGCTTGCAGGCCACCACTACCACCATCATCATCATCATCATTATCATAATCCTCGTCATCATCATCATTAATAGGGAGCTTTAGCATCGACGACGGCAACGGCAGCGAAAACGTCAGTTTTAAAATGGATTCCCGTTTTTTCAATCTTTGTCGCGTTTATTCCAATTTGCTGAAAATGGCGAGTGTAGGCGAATTTCCCTGGAGTTGATTTCTTGAGGACCGCACTCAAGTTTAGAGAGAGAAAAAGAGATTCGTCGTCGCTTGTTTACGTCCTCCATGAAACTTGCAAAAAGGCATTTTCACGTCGTAGTTGTGCAGTACGGTAAAGAAATGTACAAGAAAGCGTGATGCACGTGCAAACTTGTTGTTTTGCGTAATAAACCTATTGCTTTTGTGACGTCACTCATTGCCGTCGTCGTCGTCGTCGTTGCTGAAGCTCCCTAATCATCAACAACAACGGCATTCATAAACCTACAGGATGTCCACTAACTAGAGATTTCCTTACTTTGACGTAGTTGTACAGCGCAGGAAGGCAACCTGCAACGGAACTTCCATTTTCCATTCATTCATGAACATTAATTTATCAGCAACGCAAGTTTAAACGAGTTGCAGACAGCGTGTGTATGCAGCTGCCTCGTGAAACGCCGGTCCCCAATGGTCCCGATACTAGCGGTGGGGAGCGATGTCAGGGGCGGCTATATTTGCAGCCTAAGCTGCAGCAACCTTGAATTTAAACAGCGCTACAAGAAAGAACTATTGCTGCAAGCCTCCACCAGTCTTTGGGTCTTGCGTAGTTCTTTGGAGGCCCTGTCGCTATATAAGCGTTACAATCTTGATTTTTTGTGTCAGGATGATTTTTAGCGGAAATGGCCTGCGGTATCATTATAACTTCATTTACAGTCCTAACACACGTGCACCCATTGCATCATTCTAATAGTGTTACGTTAAGTTTCGCATATTGTGGCGCGGAAACAGTTTTAATCGTATGACTATAAACTGGCTAATATAGACCCAAATCACTAAGAACTTGTGATTTTGTGACTCCCATGTAGTCCTTTATCCTACAACTTTTAATTGACCCAATAAAAAGTCAATAACTAGCAAATTGTGTAAACTAAGTCAGTTCATCGCTTCTCAGATGATGTTTTACAGCCCAGCATCTGCTCTCAACATTATACTTACCATTATACTATAAACCTCTAGTTTTACACAAAGGAGAAAAGCTTTATTTTATAGGTTACAATATGACTTCGTCGGCTCGTGATGGCACCGATGCCTCGGTGTTGACATATCATCGAATCATTGAAGCTTTCAAGTTTGGTTATGCTTGGCGAAGTCGACTTGGTGATCCTGATATTAATATGGATAAGAAAATAAACGAGGTAAGTGAAAGATAATTTATTATTATTTCCACCCTTGCTCCCCCTTGTTCCCTCTTAAAGGTTTTGTTGTGTTTATTTGAGCAGGCGGATTGGTACGCTTGCCGAGATCTGGGTTTCACCAACTAGGACCGTGCAGCGCCAAATTTTTTGGGGGGATCACTTTCTTGGGGAGCTTGGCCACTAAGCTTAGAATAGTAACCGAGCCTGCCCATTTAGTTTCCAATCCTTCCTGAACCGTTTGTATGCAATGTTCAGCTGGCCGCAGGGGGTTGTTAAGGGTTAAGCCCTGAGAATAGTGATTAGGGTTAAGCACTGATCAATACTGATTAGGGTTAAGCACTGACTCGATAAACGGTTAGCTTCTATTTGGGGTTAGGGTTGTTGCCATATACCTTTAAATCAAACCATCAACCGTCAGCAAATTCTCAGTTCGCGTAATGGTATGGAAGATGGACTGCAGATTCAACGGTTCGCGTTCGAGTCCTACGCACGCCCTTCTGAATCTTTTTCCCTTAAAAATTGAAGATACTTAGCCTCTGTACTTTGAAATTTCATGTGGGAAAAGGCAAATGTCTCAGAATGTCTTGTTAGAGGGAAATGTCAGTTTAGAGTATGGAGATGAGTGCTCCCCAAGAAAGTGATCCCAAGAATAATTTTCGCCCGCGAGGCCGCCGTTCATACATGGCTCATACTTTATTTACGCACAAATTTACGTGCGTACGCATGTTGACATTACGTGACAGTAGAAATCCACCTTTGGACTTGCTAACGGGCGTTCTGTCTTTCCAGCCACTGAAGGCAAGGGGAAGCATTGCGCGTACGAAGTTTTTAGGGATTAGGGATAGGGAATTTCTATCCGAAATATTCTCCGTACTTTTTTCCCAGATTGCACAAAAGATGATAGATAAACAGCTGGGCGACAAGTTACGTAAGCTGATACAAGATGACCAAACACAAGACAACGTGTCTTACTACGCCCGCTTCTATTCTGATGCTGATTATGGAACCACACACCTGGCTGTTTTGGCCAAAAACGGTGATGCAGTTTCTGTAACATCCACTATAAATCATAGGTTAGTTCAGTAAAATACAAAGGGGCCGGAAGTCAGTTTATCCTGAACACCGTATTTAATCGAGTTAACTTTGAGAATAGTGAGGTATAAAAGTTTTTTCATATCCTATAGATATAACAGCCATCACATGGCTGCCTTGAGGTAAAACATCGCTGTCCCCGGGGAGGTTCACGGCCAATTGCGGGCGTGGAGGGAATACGGAAGATTACCTTGGAAGGATCTGGTCCAGCCTGCCATCGATTTAGCCTGTAAAGGGTTTCCAATAAGCACCGCCGTTGCCGATGCCTTAAGTGAAGATATGGTAGAGAAAATAAAAGAGGATAAGGTGAACCATAACTATTATCAGGAACCGATTAAGTAATCGGCTCCTGCTATTATTCATCACAATTTTTCGTGTTTTCTTTTTGGCAAAGTGCGCCTGAGATTTCAGAGGCGTGCGTGTCGGATATCTGTTTTCAAAGTATTCTTTGCTAGGATCAGTTTGAAATGAGCCGAACTTGTCAAGCGAGACTACAGTAGAAAGAGAATTCGATATAATCGTCTTTATCAGGGGTGTCTTTATCAAGACTGTCTGCGACGCAGGTTAGGGGGCGGCCAGTGGCGGATTAGGGTAAAAGAGCCATTCTATCCTCGCCCCATTTGACTCATCCTAACTAAACTCGCGAAAGGATGATGCATTAGGTGCGTTTTTTACAGCAGATGGCAACTGGTTCCAGATGTGCGAGATCATGTACGCATATGAACCATGAAGGAATCTACTATTATATGAAGTTTGTACAACATTTAGACCATTGCTTCTAAGATTATATATATGGTGTAACTCGGGGTTTGAATAAATTGGCTACATAGCCTGGACCATTCTCCTTGAAACGTTTAAAAAATATCATTAAGGATTGTTCTATGCGTCTATGTTCCAAGGTATTCATATCTGCCATCCTAAGAATTGATTCATAATCGGTACTTTTCCCCATGTTCATTATAGTTCGTAGAAGGAGCCGTTAAGAGAGTTGACTGTATAATGCCTTAAAAACAAAGAAAGAAAAGTCAACTCTCCCTTAAAGGGCTCCTCCATAAAATGGACACCTCAGTAAAATTGGCACCTACTACTTTTAATTGACTATCTATGAGACGGACACCTCGCTTTGTGGACTCATGGAGTTGGTCCCTGCCTTTGATTACTCCTTTTAATTGACTCTCTATTAGACGGAAACCCCGCTGAAACGGACCTCTACCCCCATAGTCGTTAGTTCCTTGCCTTCCTTCACCCCTTAAAGTTAACTTTTTATAGGATGGTCTTAGGTGGACTCATGGAGCTGGACACAGAGGTGTCCGTCTAAGGGAACTTTGACTGTATATTGACAATAGAGAGAGAAAGCCGTTACGTCACGTTGCCATGGTAGCAAAATTTCTGAATGACAACAAACCGCAAATATCACTTAAAAAACCTCGACGATCTTATTCAATTTTATTCAATTTGTCAAATGTTGACGAAATTTTCTGGGGTTAAATCCGAAAGGACGTTATCTAAGTTTAGAAAAAGATTAAGAACATTTACACGTTGTGCTCACCTACTTCGTAAAGCGGGTGCGTAAAAGCAGCAAGTCTCATGTCGCAGCCGTGCAACGACGGCTAAGAAACGTACAAAAAAGGTGTGATGCACGTGCCGAGTTGTTGTTTTGCTGATATAAACCTATTGCTTTTTCCAGTTCTCTTTGCCGTTCCGACGTCGTTGCTCAAGCTCCCTATCGTTGTGATCCAGAAATTTTGTTACTATGGTAACGTGACGTCACACTTCTCTCTATTCCTATAGGTACTAGTACATTAGGAGAGTACAGTCATGAGAAAAATGTATTCAAGAACATGACGTGTATCTCAACAGATTTGGATGCAAGTTTCGATCCAACCTCACGGGGATTATATACAATAACCAGATGGCAGATTTTGATGATCCCAACGACACAGAGATTGATGGTGTTTATCCATCTGAGGTTAATTCTCCCTATCCAGGCAAGCGGCCATTCTCGTCCATGTCCGGCGCAATTTTAACAGACAATAAGGGTGACGTACAGCTTGTTATTGGTGCGTCTGGCGGTAAAAGGATCACCACGGCTGTCTCACTGGTATGAGAAAAAAAAGAATAAGTAGAAGTTTTTGAGCAAAAATAAACATGTCGCCCTATGTAAGATAATCCAAAACAGTCTTGGATTATGGACTCCACGCTGTGGATTCCGGATTGGATTCCAGGTACTGTATTGCGGATTCCCTGTCGGGTGGAATTTGCCTGTATTCCCTGAGCTGAATTACAGATCCCAATGCCCAGGATTTCAGATCCCACGAGCAAAAATTTCCCGGATTTTGAAATCCAGATTGCCTTATATGGGGCGAAACATGGGGGAAATTCTCAGTGCCCTTTTTCCCCGCATTCCTTGATTTAGTTGAAAACAGGGAAAAATTGGGGCGGGTTTTAATAGTAGTCAAGCCTACGTTGTACTCGAACTTGTCAAGCGAGACTACAGTGGGGTGTCTTTATCAAGACTGTCTGCGACGCAGGTTAGGGGGCGGCCAGTGGCGGATTAGGGTAAAAGAGCCATTCCATCCTCGCCCCATTCGACTCATCCCAACTAAACTCGCGATGTTTATTTGCATGGGTATAAGGCAAAAGAACGAAGTGTGGACTGGGGGTATAAAGCAGGAATATATGGCGTTTTTTCGCGCCCCCAACATCACAGATCTACGGCTATTAGACAAAAAACCTCACCTCGCTAAGAGAAACCATGAAATCATGTCTCGTTCTAACAACTCTTGTTAATTCGTAGGCCCCAAACTCTTTCAAGACAAAGATTTACGGATTATTACGTTCAAATCCTACCTCTTTACTATTTATGTTAAGAGGTAAATTGCTCAGTTCCTCAGGCACAGTTTACTTATCATGTATAGGTGTTGATGAACATGCTGTGGTTTGGAAAGGACATATCACAGGCAGTGGACGATCCTCGAATTCACGAAGAACTTGTACCCAAAATGGATGTAGAAGTTGAAAACAACAAAGATTATCGTCTTCCTGAGGACATACAAGATGGCTTAAGAGCGCTTGGACACAATGTAACGGTGGCAAGTGACACTGCTTTTGCTGTGGTACAAGCTGTCTATCGAAAAACTGTGGAAGAAATTTATGCAAAGTCTGACCCAAGAAAATTTGGAGCTCCCGCGGGAGGCTAACATGTTTGCCCCAAACTGTGAATAAAAATATAATCGTAGAATTTTAGGTTATAACGCGCCCCATCTCTAGGTATAAGCCCGCCAACCGTTCGGTGTCCCCAGTACGTGCAAACGAAAGAATCTGCCTTGCCTGGTTCCTGTACAGCTTTTCCCAGGCCTTCTCGGTCAATTCACTTCGGTGACGTATCAGAGGCGAATGGGTGGGAAACGGGTATATACTTCATGGTGGAAAGCCACAAGTGCACCGGTAATATACACTCTGTGTAATATGTAGTATTGTGTCTTCTCCCTAATAGCTAGTGGTAGTTACTAGTAGTTACTGGTAGTTACTAGTAGTTGCTGGTAGTTACTAGTAGTTGCTGGTGGTAACTAGTAGTTCCTAGTAGTTATCGGTAGCTACTAGCAGTTACTGGTAGTTACTAGTAGTTACTGGTAGTTACTAGTAGTTGTCGGTAGTTATTAGTAGTTTCTGGTAGTTAGTAGTAGTTCTCGGTAGTTACTAGTAGTTGTCGGTAGTTACTAGCAGTTACTGGTAGTTATTAGTAGTTACTGGTAGTTACTAGTAGTTCCTGGTAGTTACTAATAGTTCCTAGTAGTTATCAGTAGTTACTAGTAGTTACTGGTGGTTACTAGTAGTTACTGGTAGTTACTGGTAGTTATTAGTAGTTGTCGGTAGTTTCTAGTAGTTGCTGGTAGTTACTAGTATTTACAAGTAGTTGATGGTAGTTATTGGTAATTATTAGTAGTTAGTGGTAGTTACTAGTAGTTCCTAGTAGTTATCGGTAGTTACTAGTAGTTACTGGTAGTTACTAGTAGTTGCCGGTAATTACTAGTAGTTCCTAGTAGTTACTGGTAGTTACTGGTAGTTACTGGTAGTTACTAGTAGTTGTCTGTAGTTATTAGTAGTTACTGGTAGTTACTAGTAGTTGTCGGTAGTTACTAGTGGTTACTAGTAGTTGGTGGTAGTTATTGGTAGTTACTAGTAGTTACTAGTAGTTGCTGGTAGTTACTAGTAGTTGGTTGTAGTTACTGGTAGTTGTCGGTAGTTACTAGTAGTTACTGGTAGTTACTAGTAGTTGTCGTTAATTACTAGTAGTTACTAGTATTTACTGGTAGTTACTAGTAGTTGTCGGTATTTACTAGTAGTTACTGGTAGTTACTAGTAGTTCCTGGTAGTGATCGGTAGTTACTAGTAGTTACTGGTAGTTACTAGAAGCTAGTGGTAGTTACTAGTAGTTGTTGGTAGTTACTAGTAGTTCGTGCTAGTTTCATGGTAGTTGTCGGTAGTTACTAGTAGTTACTAGTATTTACTTGTAGTTACTAGTAGTTGTCGGTAGTTACTGGTAGTTACTAGTGGTTAATGGTAGTTCTTGGTATTTATTAGTAGTTACTGGTAGTAACTGGTAGTTATTAGTAGTTACTAGTAGTTACTGGTAGTTATTAGTAGTTGTCGGTAGTTGCTTGTAGTTATCGGTAGTTACTAGTAGTTACTGGTAGTTTCTAGTAGTTGTCGGTAGTTACTAGTAGTTTTTGTAGTTATTGGTATTTACTAGTAGTTGCTGGTAGTTACTAGTAGTTGCCGGTAATTACTGATTGGATTGGACTGTTTTCATTTGCTTGGACTATTTCTATTGACGCTGTTGAAGTGAAAGTCTCGAAATATAACAGAGCACTTAATGTCAGGTCCCGCTCGGAAAAACAGTTAGTTATATTTTTCCTCAAGTAATGTTGTTTCTCTTGTTGATTTTGTCTCGGGAAACGTCAGGACTCTCGGCGTTCTCAATTCCGTTTCTGTAGGTTCCACCGATGTGGTATTAGACCAATGTTCACACAAAGCAATCACTTTAAGTAGACTTTATTTGTGAAAGTTTATCTTAAACTTAATATGCCTTTACACAGAATGACATGTTGGCTCATGTATTTCATTTAAAGTGACATGTATTTCAGTCTCAATGTCATAACTCTCTTCCTTTAATTTTATTTCTGCTAATTTATAAAATCATCACTTAATGATGTCGCTGACATAGTCATTATCACATTGAAAACCTTGTAAACAGTAATAGTCTCTAATGTGTTTGAAGTAAATATCCATTTCCTAATTGTGGAAGTCCTCTTGTAAAACCAATGTTACACTGAAGGTATAAAAAAAATAGATATCTCAGTATTTCAAAAAAACGATACTAAATCTTTATAGCTCGGTAACGCTTCGGTACAGCCAGAGAAAACAGCCAACATCTCGCGATGCCGCCACTTGATCGAGCTGCATTGCACTGCTGACGGACCTTTACGATGTAGAATAAAAACATCAAAAATGGTGCCACAAAGCCACTTGCCACAGTGATGACAAGTGCAAACTTTCACCGCCAGAAAGTACAAAGTATAACATAAGTATGACTAGTCAAATCTTGACATGATCACACTTTAGAAACCAAGAAATAAAGATCACTTTATATTCAGAAGGAGGTGGTAATCTCAAATATTGCTGCTACGACCGCCAAAAAAAAGATCCATCTACGCAGCCGTAATACAATTAGATAACTAAAAAGCGTTTGCATCCAATTATAGAAAGAGAACCTTTAGTGTAACATTGGTTTTACAAAGGACTACTACAACTAGGAAATGGATATTTACTTCAAAAACATTAAAGACTATTACTGTTAACAAGGTTTTGAATGTGAAAATGACTATGTCAGCGACATCATTAAGTGATGTTTTTGTAAATTAGTAGATATAAAATTAAAGGAAGAGAGTTATGACATTGAGATTGAAATGCATGTCACTTTAAATGAAATATATGAGCCAACCTGTCATTCTGTGTAAAGACATATTAAGTTTAAGATAAACTTTCACAAATAAAGTCTACTTAAAGAGATTGCTTGTGTGAACATTAGTTTAATGCCACATTGGTGGAACCTACAGGAAAGGAATTGAGAACGCCGAGAGTCCTGATGTTTCCGGAGACGAAATCAACAAGGAAAACATCATTACTTGAGGAAAAATATAACTAACTGTTTTTCCGAGCGGAACCTGACATTAAGTGTTCTGTCATATTTCAAGACTTTCACTTCAACAGCGTCAATAGAAATAGTCGAAGCAAATGAAAACAGTCCACTCGAATCAGTAATTACCGGCAACTACTAGTAACTACCAGCAACTACTAGTAACTACCACTAACTACTAGTAACTACCAGCAACTACTAGTAAATACCAATAACTACCACCAACTACTAGTAACTACCGGCAACTACTAGAAACTACCAGTAACTACTAGTAACTACCGATAACTACAAGCAACTACCGACAACTACTAATAACTACCAGTAACTACTAGTAACTACTAATAACTACCAGTTACTACCAGTAACTACTAGCAAACACCAAGAACTACCATTAACCACTAGTAACTACCAGTAACTACCGACAACTACTAGTAACTACCAGTAACTACTAGTAACTACCAGCAACTACTAGTAACTACCAGTAACTACTAGTAACTACTAGTAACCAGCGCCGTAGCTAGTATGAGGCCAACCGAGGCACTCGCCTCGGTAAAATGTTGACGAATTTCGCCGATCATTTTTATTTTACATAAGCGATCATCGGATATTTTTAACGCATCATGATATTACAAAGAATTCAGCAATTCAGTCAATATACTATGAAAAAATTACCATATCATCGATCTCAAGGGGCTACGTACGTTAACTCAAATTTTTTTTAAACAAATACTGATCAAAACCATTGGCGAGGTTAACGGTCACCCAGATTATGTAGCTTGTTTCTGATTATTGCTTTTTAAATTCCACTTAAATTAACTCGAAAAAAAGTTACCGAAAGGCCCAGAAAACGCTGCAAATCGCATTTCCGAGAGACTAAAGTTCAAAATTTCTCGGGGGGGGGGGGCATGCCCCCGAACCCCCCTAGCAACTCCCGCCTGCCTCGGTTGGCCGTTTGGTCTGGCTACGGCACTGGTAACTCCTAGTAACTACTAGTAACTACCGATAACTACTAGTAACTACCGACAACTACTAATAACTACCAGTAACTACTAGTAACTACTAATAACTACCAGTTACTACCAGTAACTACTAGTAAACACCAAGAACTACCATTAACCACTAGTAACTACCAGTAACTACCGACAACTACTAGTAACTACCAGTAACTACTAGTAACTACCAGCAACTACTAGTAACTACCAGTAACTACTAGTAACTGCCAGTAACCACTAGTAAATACCAATAACTACCATTAACTACTAGTAACTACCGACAACTACTAGTAACTACCAGTAAATACTAGTAACTACCGACAACTACTACCAACTACTAGTAACTACTAATAACTACCGACAACTACTAGTAAATACCAGTAACTACTAATAACTACCACTAACTACTACTAGTAACTACTAGTAACAACTACAAGTAACTACTAGTAACTACCACTAGCTATTAGGGGAAGACACAATACTACATGTTACACAGAGTGTATATTACCGGTGCACTTGTGGCTTTCCACCATGAAGTATATACCGGGAAACGTCTCACTTCTTCGCTCGGACCACGTGACCCGAAACGCAATGTCCGCGCGGAATAATGAGTCCTAGTGACTAGGCAAGAATACTCCTATAAGCCTACCCCTCATACCACCACATACGCCTGTTATAATCCTTCCTTTGCTCCTTTTTTTTCCTCTCCGTTACCGGGTAATCCGCAAGTAAGAGATAACGACTTGTGTCACCTTTTTCATTCTCACTTCCACCCTTGCTTCCTCCTCCCCCCCCCCACCCCCCAAGAGCTTGCACTTAGGTCTTACCAGGTATTTGTTTGGACTTTGAACAGTGCATGTCTTGAGCTCACGATATTCAAACTGAATATATATTATCTTATTCTCTTTCTGTTAGCCACCACCAACCCACTTTCCCGGCCGTCACATTTAACACGCCATCCAAAAGCTCTTACGAAGTTGTAACTAGATTAAGCAGCGTTTTAGCAAAG